TCGCCCGCCGCCGCGCTCACCTCGGCCGGCACCTGCATGGACCAGCGCTGCGCCGGCGCGCCTGCGGGCAGGGGAGGGCGCGTCAGGCCGGCCCGCACCCCACCCGCGGCCTGGGAGCCCCAGGACTCGGGAGTGCCCCCTACCCCCACCCCAGGGGTCTGGAAACCCCAGGACTCGGGAAGCGCCCTCCCACCTTAGGGATCCGAAACCCTGAACTGTGACTTGAGAGCTATCATTGGGGACCTGCACACTCCCATGACTCGGGAGGTACCTGGACCCTCTCCCCTCTTCTCTGAGATTATTTGCCTCATTCGTGGTACGTCCCGCCTCACCTACCAGCCCAGTGACCCCATACTCTTAGTTTTACCCCATCAAAACCTGCCCTGCTGCCCCGTATCCTGTGGTTACAATAGAGTCCCAAGATCCCCAAGATGGTGACAATAATAAAGCACTTACTGTGCACCTCTGTGTTGAACAAGTTCTCAGTAGTATCTCTTTTAGTTCTCAAAAATGATCCTACAGGTAAGCACAGTTATCCCCCGTTACATGTTAAACTGAGGAAGCACAGAGAAGTTGAGTAATTGTCTGGGGTCACACAGCTAGAATGAGGCAAAGCCAGAGATCACACTCAGGACTGCCTCAGTCTACAGCCCGCACTCTAGTGCACTAGAGGCTGGGAACCTTGGGGCTCATCCGAGGACATCAACACTCCCACTTACAGAGGGGAAACTGAGGTCCTGGGAGGGAACATTATGTTCTGAAGCTAATGTGTTCAGCTGGTGATTGAGATTCATCTAGAATCCAGGTCAACCCAAATGAACTGTGCCTTGACTGATTTCCCAAAAGACGAGTGCTTGGGGAGGGAGCTGACAGACCAGAATGGTGGGCTGTTAGTCTGTGTCCTTGCTCTGTGTAAGTGCCTCTGGTCTCAGTTTCCCCACCTCCCATCCTGTGAACCACTGAAGTAAGGTTGAGCCAAAGTCTGGAAGATGAGCTCTGCCTCCAGTCCACGGAGCACTGGTGAGCCACAGGGCCCCCCGTTGTTGTGTGTGTGCGCTGCTTTGAGGGAGGGGGAGCAGTGGGTGGGGGGGGTGTCAGTGCTAAGCCTCAGAGGATCAGGCCAGGGGTGGTGCCTCCCCGGGGAGGGAGGGCAGATTGCTAAGCATGCCCGGCCAGTGCCCTGGGGTGCAGTTCACAAAAGGGATCTTTAGAGGAAGTAATATAGCAGCCCTTGTATTTCCAAAGGACTTTACAATTACACAGCTCTTTTGTATACACCATGTCATGTGACTCTCAGAACACCCAGGGGGAGAAAGGCAGGGCAGATATTGTTACAGATGAGAAAATGAAGGTGCAGAGTCACACGAGTAGAAGTTGGGAGAAACCCGGTTTCTCTGACTCCAAGCCCTGTGCTCTTTGCTCTTTGAGGTAATTTAGCCCAATTCACTCCTTGGGCAGGAATCCGTCCAGCCCACCACTGGCCGACCATCCTCCAGGGAGCCCATCCATCTATGAATAACTTACAGGCCAGGACATTTGTCCTGCACAGACCAATATCTCCTGCTACTCTCAGGCCCGCCATTGCTCTCTGGAGCATGCACAATCTCTCCCCAGGATGGGCCTCCCAGGATCCCATCAGGGCTATCCTGGACCTATTAAGCCTCCCACTTTTGGGTGGGAAAGTCCTGGTCCCTCACCTGCTCCTCCCCATCCTCACTGTCCTCTCCCTGCAGTGTAGTGTCCTGACTCAGATGGCTGCAGGTGTGCTACACCTGCAGCGTGGCATGAGCCCCGTGGTGCCACTGCGGGTGTGGGAGCTGTGCCTTGAGTACAGTCCCCCTGTGGGCTCATGCACAGCTTGCCATCAAGTAAACCCACAAGTTCTTTTTTCATATAACCTGCTTTTAAGCCTAATGTGTTTTTTTCTGGACAAGTGGAATTATATTTTTGAACTCAAGTGGAGGACTTGGCATTTATGCCTAGTAAGAGCTTGTTTGCTCAGTTGTTAGTAATCAGAGTCTAGTTCCGAATTTGAGAAACCCCGTCTGAAGGTTTTGCTTGTTCAGTCAGTACTTCTAGCTGCAGAAAGCATCTTCCTGATCTTGAAGCTCAGCCGCTGCCTCCGTGTCCTTGCCACATCCCGCTCCCTGTGACCTCAACCTCTTCTGGCCTCCTGCATCTTGCAGGTGTCACAGAGCCAAGCGCTGAATCCCGTGTATTGTTTGCTATTGTGCATTCATCAATTTGGCACATTTATCAGACGCTTCCCTACACTGCCAGGCTCTGGGATTCAAGCTGCAGTAACAAAGATGGACAGGAAACCTTACCAGCCTGCTAGAGCTCACAGCTCAGAGAGGGAGACAGATCTGTGTATGCATAATTACACTAGCCTGCAAGTGCTTTAATGATGGACATGAACAATACTCCCTCTGTCTGAACATGGTTCCCGGCCCATCTTCACTCACCAGCTCCCTCTATCCATCCTCAGGTCTCTGCTGAGACTTCCTGAGCCCCAAGCCTGGGTCTCCTCACCTGTGCCCCAAGGCTGGCATAGGTACTTCCTCAGTATGGGCATTGCCTGTTTAACTGTGTCCTGCCCAGACACCCAGAAGCAGGGACCATGTCTGTGTGGTCCTATTTGTGTTGCTATTGCCCAGTGTGGTATCTGCCACCTAGTAATTGACGTTGAATTGAAATGCTATGTGAGAACAGAAGGGAGGTGATCAGGGTGGCTGGAGAGTGTGGGGGTGGGCGGAGAGTGGTGTACAGATATTAGGCAGGCAGGGAGAGAGGAGATGAGAGAGGAGATGTTGTTTTAGCAGAGCCTTGAGAAAGGAGGGGAATTTCATTAAATCCGGAGGTATCGTTCTAGGAAGTGGGAGTGGCACAGCAAAACCACGAGGCATAAACACTAGCATAGAGGTTGTGGGGCTCAATGGGAAAGGAGGCCAGAGTGCTTTGGGGGATCATTGGGAGACATTCCTCATCTCATTTAAAATGCATGACAACCCCATGAGGCGCTATCATTCACCCCTTTTTTTTGTCCTTTTTGAGACTGGCCGTACCGCACTCAGCCAGTGAGCGCTGTGAGTGCACCGGTCATCCCTATATAGGATCCGAACCCGCGGAGGGAGCGCTGCTGAACTCCCAGTGCCGCACTCTCCCAAGTGCGCCACGGGCTCGGCCCATTTACCCCCTTTTAAAGGAGGGCGAACTGGAGCTTGCAGAGCCCAAGTGACTTGGCAAGGTCATTTGACCACCCACTAGCAGAGCCAGGGCTCGGCCCTGGGTAGTTCTGCCTTCTTTGTTCATGTTCTTACCTTTACCGTACGCTCAGTTGCTCAGGCTAGTTTGAAAACATCCTCAAGTGTGATACAAACGGCAGGCCTCCCTCCCAGCATGGGTTTTGCTCTAGGAGCAGAAGGGGAAAGAGGCCCTTTCACCAAGATTTCGATCTTGGCTCCCATAAGGAGGGGATCTGTGCTTCCTGTTTACCTGCTGAAGGGGCTTCATATGGCAGGCCTCCCTCCCAGCATGGGTTTTGCTCTAGGAGCAGAAGGGGAAAGAGGCCCTTTCACCAAGATTTTGATCTTGGCTCCCATAAGGAGGGGATCTGTGCTTCCTGTTTACCTGCTGAAGGGGCTTCATAGAGGCAGGTGCCTGGACTCCCTCCCACACAGAGACCTTTGGATGAGCCTGCCCTGGGGACACAAGGTAAGGGTGGGAAGCCTCAGCAGGAATTGCTTAGGGAACAAGTGCATTTGCTTTGGCAGGAATCCAAGCTCCCCAGCATCCTGTGACATTTACCATTCCCTCTGGCAGCGCATGCCTGTCTGCTAAGACAGGAGAGGGATGATTCCTGAACTGGAACCATCTCTCAGCCTCACATCTGTCAACCGCCATGGGTCAACAGGAGGCCCACATTCTTCCTGTTGTCCAAAATACCTCCCCTCAATGGTGGGCCATGGGGTGTAGTAGAAAGCATGCTAGCTTCGGCACAGCTGGACATAGATGACAATCTCACCTCTGGTCATTCTTTCATCAGACTTTTATCAAGTACTCGATTGTGCCTGGCACCATCCCAGGCTCCTAACACACTAGGTGGTCTCTGTACAAATTACTTAATACCCCAGGTCTCAGACGCCTCTGCTCAAAATGGGGAGCATAACGCCCTCCTCCTAGGGTTGAGGATTGAATAGAACCACATATGTAGGTCACCTGGCACTGTGCCCAACAAAGCAAATACCCACACGTATTAGTTCTCTTCCCTCACTAGCCCTGCAAAGGGGGTGTGAACAGAGGGAGTAGGGTGGAGTGCTGACCAGTGGTGGAGAAGTGCTCAGGGTGATGCTGCAGGGGGTGAAGCACTGGTACCCTGACATCGCACCATGTGCAGCTCAGCTTGGCATCTCAGACCAGCTGAGGTACAGTAGCTAGTCCTCGCCTCAATTTGGCTGGAAGCTAGTCATTGATTTATTCATTTATTCACTTGATAGGTATTTACTGAGAGTTTACCATGTGCTAGAGACAGTGCAGGGTGTTGGGGATATAGTGGTGGTGACAATTAGTAGCCCTCCTCAGTGTGGTGACAATCGGGCCATTGCTCAGTCACTGTTTGTTTTTAATTTATACACATCCTAACACATTCATCAGTTTTCCAGGCCAGGAGAATGAAAATTGGAGAGCTGGAAAGTAGTTTTCTTTAGTAGGCCCATGGAAAGCAGTGAGAAGTGACAGCTGACATTCATTCAGAGAGGCAGGGTTCAGTAACAATAATGAGAAGACAGCTCGGGACAGAAAGCATAAAAGTACAGCATCAAAGGGACCATTGGAGGATGAGATCCAGAGGGCCTCAAGCCATCGTGATGTTGCAGCAGGCTAGTGTAACAGGTATACACAGAGGTGACCCAAGTCACCATAGAAAAGCTCATTGCTATGAGAGGTGTCCTGCTTTAGTGACACACACCTCAGGTGGGGTGTCAGGGGTCTGTCTGGGCCCCTAGCCCTGGTTCTGACACTGACTTTGAGACCTTAGGCAAGTCTACCTAGCTCTCTGGTCTCAGCAGGCTCATCTCTGAGATGATGTTTCTAAATGTTTGTTTACTAAGGTGACTTTTAAGTCTAAAAGTCTATGTCTGAAAATGATATTTGAATAAATATGACAAGGAAGCATATAAATCATTTTGGAAATATGCTATTTAAATTTATTCAAAGACTTTAGGTCCTTGAAAATAAGCCGCTAGAGAAAACTCAGCTCCTTGGAGAGATGCATCCATGCTTCGCTGGTTCTTCACAGCCTTTTACGAAACTCTCCATCAGAGCTCTCTTTATGCCTCCTCGTGGTGACTGATCTAAACACAGCAGCAGGCATTAGCTCTCCCATAATCATAATCATGACTCAACAAGGGAGTAGACAACTAACCCCGGACCTAATATCCAGAAGCCCAGTGCCCGCGGTGCCAGAGAGGGGAGAGAAATCCAGGGAGACAGAATCATAGCTGCAGAACCTGGATGGGCAGAAGGCACATTGGGGTGGGAGCAGAGATAGAAACCTGGGTTTTGCCACAGCTGACCAAAGATTTCCACCAGTTCCTTGGTGAGGAAGGAAGCAGGAACCTGCATGAGAACCTCTGGGTAGATCGTTTGTGGGGTGGCCTATGCAATCACGCTTAGGTTAAGTATAGAGCACACTGCTTGCCGGCTTCGCAATAGAGTGTGGGTCAAGTGCTGTCTGTGGATACTTGGTATATTCATAATGGAGTTAACCTCTTCGGGGGGGGGGGTCACAGACAGGAAAGTGAGCCCGTCTGTGGCGGTTGTGGTGGGACAATGGTCAGATGGAGCGCCCTCACAGAACGGCACTTTAACAAGGATTAAGTCTGCTGGGGTGGGCTTTATATGACAGTTTTTAGGAGAGAGCAAGTTATGGATTTTGAGTGGGGAGGGAAAGCTGATGTTAGATGGGCAGTCACCGTGGATGGACCATGCCTCTTGGAGGGATAGCATCCTGGCACCCAGAGCTGGGGGCCCTCAGAGATCTGCTGTGTTCTGTCCCCACCTGCCTCTCCATGGTTGACATTACAGGTGGCCAATCTGATGAGCTCAACTATCTGTAAGGGGCTACCCTCCTTGGGGACACCTGAGCATGCTCAGATGGGTGTTCTTGGGGAGTGGCTTCTGTGGTGGCCTTTGGGGAATCATGGTGCCTGGAGGGCCAGGAGAAGGTGTTTTTGGGGGCAAGGAGCGAAGTTCATCTTGACGGTTGAACCTCACCGGCAGGTGTGTGGCTCAAGCTGGGCCCATTGCCTGATGTCCGGTCCCCACCTGCCCCTCAGTTTGCTCCCACCAGTTCTTCGGCTGGACTTGCAGGTTGTCAAGATAGATTATCAGTGGAAAAAAGGCGAGAATAGGGTGGAGACCAGAGAGGAGAGGAGGCAGAGGAAGCAGGAATTCCATTCTTGAGGGTGAGTCAGACCCAGAAGGTTCCAGAGAACAGGTGAGGTAGAGAGAGTGTGAGAGAAAGGACTGGTGGTTCTCCACCTGCCCTTAGGTCTGTCTCAGCTTCCCCTGTAAGCCTTGTGTCTCTAGCCAGGATGTGGGTGTGGATGTGGGTGTGGGTGTCCCTGCTGACCTGAGCTGACAGAGGTGCAGAGCCACAGGCTGACCCTGTCCTGGGCCCAAGTGCCTACCACGTGGGGCTGCTCTTCAGAGTTGCAAGTTAGCCTGTCCCTGCCCTTGCTCCCTGGTCTCCGCAGGGGGCCCTGCTCCCCTTCACTACTCCCCAGGTAGGACTTCCTCAGTCCAAGCACAATTGCCTACCACAGCCACTGAGAGCAGAAGTGTCCTGGACCCATTTCTCCCTGGACCCATGACAGCAGCACACCTCCTCCCTGACCTTCTCCTGCATCCCGAATAATCTCCCCCATGTTCTGGGGGGACTGAGGCTATTTGTCTTGCCGTTTTGGTTTGTTTTCTGCGGTGGTCCAGAGCTAGTGCGGTAAATAGCTCTTAGCACCCCACTTGGCCCCAGACTCCCCACTCCCTGCACATGGGCGTGTGAAGAGCTGGGCATGCACTCAGAAGCCTCCCGTTCGCATCCAGGCTGTGACGCCCAGCAAAGTCCTAACCTCCCTGAACCACCCTAAAACAGGGACAAGCATCCTCACTTTGCAGGGCTGTAGTGAAGAGTAAGTTAACTGTCTNCCCTGCTGACCTGAGCTGACAGAGGTGCAGAGCCACAGGCTGACCCTGTCCTGGGCCCAAGTGCCTACCACGTGGGGCTGCTCTTCAGAGTTGCAAGTTAGCCTGTCCCTGCCCTTGCTCCCTGGTCTCCGCAGGGGGCCCTGCTCCCCTTCACTACTCCCCAGGTAGGACTTCCTCAGTCCAAGCACAATTGCCTACCACAGCCACTGAGAGCAGAAGTGTCCTGGACCCATTTCTCCCTGGACCCATGACAGCAGCACACCTCCTCCCTGACCTTCTCCTGCATCCCGAATAATCTCCCCCATGTTCTGGGGGGACTGAGGCTATTTGTCTTGCCGTTTTGGTTTGTTTTCTGCGGTGGTCCAGAGCTAGTGCGGTAAATAGCTCTTAGCACCCCACTTGGCCCCAGACTCCCCACTCCCTGCACATGGGTGTGTGAAGAGCTGGGCATGCACTCAGAAGCCTCCCGTTCACATCCAGGCTGTGACGCCCAGCAAAGTCCTAACCTCCCTGAACCACCCTAAAATAGGGACAAGCATCCTCGCTTTGCAGGGCTGTAGTGAAGAGTAAGTTAACTGTCTGTCAAAGGCCTGGCACAGAGTCCCTGGAGCTGGGCATGCACTCAGAAGCCTCCCGTTCACATCCAGGCTGTGACGCCCAGCAAAGTCCTAACCTCCCTGAACCACCCTAAAACAGGGACAAGCATCCTCACTTTGCAGGGCTGTAGTGAAGAGTAAGTTAACTGTCTGTCAAAGGCCTGGCACAGAGTCCCTGAGGGTAGCAGCTATTGTGATTGCTACCCCAGCTTTTCAAAGGCTTGTGGGCCCACTGAGACCTTGTTGAAGGTCACCCAGGTGGTCAGAGTTCCCAGCCCAGGGTTATTCCCCCTACCCCACATTCCATGGCCCCTCCAGCTTTCTAAAAGCAGAGGGAGGAAATACAGGGGAGACTGAGGAGCCCCTGGGAAATCAGGGGCTGCCCAAGGGTGCTGGCTATAGGTGGCAATGGCTTGGAGGATGAGGATGTGGAAAGTGGAAGAGGGGGATCCGGGGATGAATTCCTCCCACTTGTCTTTTGCCAAGGGCCTGCCCTGGGCCCCATACTCTGAAATGTGACAGGAAGAGACTGTGACTACGGGCCCGTTGAGCCACGCCTGGTCCTCTGCCTGCCTGCCTGCCAAGCCCGCTACCCGAGCATCTTCTGGCTGAGCCACATGGACAGGCTCACAGGTGAACGGCAGCCAGAAGGGCTTTAGGAAGTGGGTCCCTGGATCACCCCGGGGCACAGGCCTTGTGGTTTCCCCAGTGAAGCAGCGGCTGGTGTGTAAAGGAGTCAGCTCACATGTGTGGCTTGACCTCTCTCAGTGGTCTCGACACAGCTAGAGCACCCGTGTGGTTTGTTTTTTGTTCTTGAACACATGACTGTATGGCTCATGCTTCCTGTAAATCATTTTGTCTTTAACTGATTCATAGCAGCTGACCCCTTACCAGGAGGAAAAACATCCCCAAACTGAAACCTCCAAAGCCTTGCCCCTTTTGAAGTTATTTGACTTCAGCAACGTTTCATTTGATTTATTAGGCAACCAGTGAGCACCAGCAGCTGTGCTGGGAGCCTTTCATCCAGACTGAATTATCCTTCCCAGCAGCACCAGGTGGCAGGGACCCCAGTGTACAGAGGCTCAGGGAAGGCAAGCAACCTGCCCATGGCTGCACAGCTAATAATAGCAGAGTCAGGATTCAAAGCTGGGTCTCATGCCCTTAACCGCTCTCCTATCTGCCACCTCCTGTCTGGCCAGCGTCCACTCCTCTAGCTCCCACCCTCTTAGAGGGACCCAACCCTAAATCAAAACAGAAAGATGGGTAAGTTAGGTCAACTTAGGAAAGACAGAACCCTCTCTGTCAGTGCCCACCGGGGACTCTGTGCCTGGGGCAATGGCCGTGTGTGTAGGGCAGGAAGCAGCCTAGAGCCACACACGCCCGGGTTCACATTGCACTCACTGAGTCTCTCTGTGCTCCAGTTTCCTCATCTGTGGGCAGGGACTATTAACAGTTCCTTCTCACAGGGTGATGAGGCTTATGTGAGTGACTGATTGGAGTGCCCAGCACTTAGTCAGACCTATGTAGGCGCTTGCTGTTACTGTCCAAACCAGACCCGAACTGTACTCTGCTCTGTGTAAAACACTGGAGAGGAAGGAAAGAAGTTGAAGGTGTGGGAGTTTATAATGAGTTGTGGAGATGGGACCCCACACGAGGAATGTTGACAAGCAGCCCAGAACACTTCCATGTCAGCACGTGGCATGCAACGACCATGCACATGGTGGCACAGCTGAGTCCAGGAGCACAGTCACAGAGGCCCATCCCAGGTTGGGGCTGGGGAAGGGACTGGGGCCTGGGAGAGGGTCTCACCAGGATCGCCCTTTGCCATCTATCCCAGAGGCCCTATACCACACTGGGCATCAGACTCACCCAAGAAGGTGGTTAAAATGCAGAGTTTTTAACTCTGCTGCCTGATATTCTGATTCTGTAGGTCTGGGGTGGAGCCAGAGACTCTGCATTTTAACAAATGTCCTCCTTCCCTGGGACACGGATGCAGAAAGTCCCTGTGTCCTTTGAGAAACACTGTTCCCAGGGATGCTGAACTAAGTGAATGGTGACATTGTTATTTAAGTCTGCCACAGCATTCCCACTCACCCCTGGGGGTCCCTGCCAGAAGAGTCTCTATGACTTGTCCTACTCCCCACATGAAATCATCCCCACCCTTACCCCAACACAATCCCCAGACAACCATGTGCTTTCCTCCCCTTGTCCTCAAGGCTGTGCCCATCCGGACATAAGCACTTGGTGACAGCAACACTCAAAGTTTGTTCAGAGCCTGCGCTGTCCTCCCCATACCGGGCCCATTGTCCCCCTGGATCCTCACAGCAATGGGTGGAGCAGGCAGCCTTTGTACAGATGGGGACACTGAGGCCCAGAGAGGTCAGGAGACTGACTCAAGTCACCTGGCAATCCAAGGCAAAGCCCAGATTTGAACTGGTTCCTGTCACCACAGCCCCCAAAGTGCAGCTCTTCCTCCTCCACAGGCCTGGAAGCCCTGGGCAAACTTGGCTTCTTGGCTTCAAGGAGAGAAGACTGTTCGTAAGACTTTGCCTGCGCCTATTCTGTTCTGAGCATGGGCCAGAGACAACAGTGGAAACTCACCGATCGGGACGATGCACGCCATGCAGGCCAGGAGTTGGATGGACCTTTCCATGCTGTGAGCATCTGCAGACTCCAGGCCAGTCCTGTCACTCAGCCAGGCCACCAGCGAGAACACTCCTTGGTGTGGGTGTGGGGAAGGAGGGTGGGAGGGGTGGGCAGGGTGCCCGGGTCTGCAGCCCCTGCCGGGCTCTGCAAGAGCTGGAACAACTGGGGAGAGGTGGCCAGGCGGCCAGAGGGATGACTAGAGAACACCAGTGGAGTTTAGTCATGTGGAAAACCAAGAGGGGAAGTGCTGGGATGATTTTCCAGAACAGAAAACAGGCAAGTGGATGTGGAAGAGGCAGGGCCATCTCCTGTGCCCACCGGCCCCTGTGAGAAACTGTTGTCCCTGTACTGCTCCCTGGGCCTCCCCTTCTATCTTTCCTTCCCTCTCTCCCTCCTTCCCTTCTTCCCTCCCTTCGCTCCTTCCTTCCCACCCTCCTTTTCTACATTTTTAGTATGCCAGGTGGGGTTTCTGTCCCTTCTTTTCTCTCCTTCACACCTCTCTTAAGAGGGGTTTTGGCAAGATGACAAAAAAGATGGAGCGGAGGAGCCTGCCAACATCACAACTCATTGAGATAAGGCCATGGAAAGTTATCAATATTTGCAAGAAAAAGACTGGTCCAGCAGACGATTCATTTTCATGAACAGAGCTCTCCAAAGGGCCTGGGGTCCTAGAACAGCACTTCTAAATCATCAATGGCCATAAGAATCACCTGGGGATCTTGTTAAACTGCAAATTCAGATCCAGGTGGTCTGGGGCAGGTGGTTTATTTGCATGGAGCTGGGGAGGGCCCTTGTTGGGGCAGAAAGCTCAGAGCGCAAGCAAGGAGGCTCTGGTTTACAACAAGCATTCTGGAAGAAGGATAAATAGAGTAGACGTTTTACCTGGCAGGCTAGCAGGTGAATCAGGGTCTGATGTTCCCAAAGCTTGGACAGGGTCTCCAGTGCCCAGTCAAAGATGCATGGGGCAGATGTGCAGATGTTTGTTCTTTGAGCAGTTGATCCAACTGTGGAACAGATTCTCTGTCCATTTCTCCCCTAGCCAGTGACCTGGTACCCCCTGCTAGCCACCTACCTGTCCTATGGTCCCTCTGCCCCCTTCTGCCCCTAGCACTTGGGGGTCCGTATAGTACCCTGAACCCACTTATCCAGCTCAGCCACATGTCTAGAGAGCCAGACCGGTTTATTCAGCTGCCTACAGACATCTTCACCTCAACATGCCCACAAAGCCCATCACCACTCTTGCTCTGCCTCCTCTTGTCCCCAGCTTCCAGGTTCCATGACTTGGTGGATGGCTACATCGTCCTCCCAGGCAAGTCAAACCAGAACGGTGGAAGTCCCCCTTGATGCTGCCTCCTCCTCCCCATCCATAGCCAGTCCTGTGGCTTCTGTCCCTCCTGCTTCCTTTGGACCATCTCTGCCTTGGCTCAGGCTGTGTCCCTTCTCACTGGACTCTTCCAATCTTTTAGTCACACTCTGCAAGCACAGTGGTTTTTGAAAACCATGACATCAATAATTTCACTTCCCTGCTTAAAACTCTTCCATGACATTTCATTGTTCTCATCTTACATATCCAACTTGAGGTTGACACATTAATTTGATTCCTAATCTTACTGACTTTAAAATAATTTCACATAGAGCAAACTTGCATGAGGAACGTAAAGGTGGCTTCAGAGAGTACAGGAAATGTGCATGTTTACAGGTTCTCAGAGACCAGGAAGTCCATTCTCCATAGCTACTGCCTAGCTAAGAGTCATCAACAAAAAATCACTCCCACCTCTTGATGCTTTTTACTTTGCAATGTATTTTCACATCCATGAGCCTGTTCTACCCTTATAATATTATCTCGAAAGTGAGTACAATAGGAATATTTTATCTTTACTTGACAAATGTATAAAATAAAGTACCTTGACAGCTGTCTCTGGACTTCATCAGAATGACCCCTGGTTTTCATTGGTCCTTTCCTTGACTCTCATATAGATTGTGCCAAGGACTACCTCTATTTAGGTACTCTGATGTAGTTTTCATTGGTCCTTTCCTTGACTCTCATATAGATTGTGCCAAGGACTACCTCTATTTAGGGTCTTGGTAATGAGGCCTCCCCAAACATGGCAGGGTGAGATGCTCAATGTATAGGCAGATTCACGCTGGTATCCTTGTTTGCTCCAGTGAGCTTTTCAGCCCCTTCAGCATCCTGCTTCTTGACCTTCCCTGCCTCAAGTCCCAGTGCTGGCCCCGGGAAGGCTGCACTTATAACCTCATTATTCCAGAAAATTAGGGCCCTGCCTTGGAACTTGCTGTCCCTGTGGGTGAAAAACACCATCTTATAGGGATTCCAGAGACTCCATCCTTGTTTGCTCCAGTGAGCTTTTCAGCCCCTTCAGCATCCTGCTTCTTGACCTTCCCTGCCTCAAGTCCCAGTGCTGGCCCCGGGAAGACTGCACTTATAACCTCATTATTCCAGCAAATTAGGGCCCTGCCTTGGAACTTGCTGTCCCTGTGGGTGAAAAACACCATCTTATAGGGATTCCAGAGACTCTTCTTGAATTTGGGTCATCACGCACTGATTTTCCCAAACTCCCTTTTCTCCTTGGGTGTTGATTTATCTGAAGCTTATTCACATACAAGCTATTAAAATGGGTTCTACCCTTGAGTGAAGCTCAGTGCCCTCACTGTAGCAGATACTTTTAGTGCCCCACTAGTGTCCCCTTGGCAAGAACTTGTGGCTCATTTCCCAGGGGCTCTCCGTGGCCACCAGAAATCACTCTTCTCTAGTGCAGAGCAGGTCGGAAGTATAGACGGTCCCCAGGATTGCCAAAAGTAGCTGGAGGCTGGCTCTAGAGCTTTCATCTGCCACCAGAGCAATGCTAACAGGAACTAGAAGCCCTCCTCCCACCTTCCAATCTCTCTCTAGTGTCTTTCCCTGGTAAGCAACTGTGTCTGAGAAATGTGGTTTGCAGAGTCTATCTCCAGCATCTAGAGCAGAGTATAGAAAGGTGGGCTTGGAGCTGAGAGCTGGGAGGTATACTCGGCACACTCAATTAGACTGTAAGCCATTCCTGGAGGCTGTTCTATATATTTGGGGTAGTGCCTAGCATAGTACCTGGGACATTATATGGATTCAAAATTATTTGCCTTTGAGCTGTTTAAAGTTCTGTTTGGTCAATTCAGGAATAAAAGAAGGAACATTACTACAGATCCTACAGATGTTAAAAGAATAATAAGGGAATATTATAAACAATTCTATGCCCATAAGTTCAGCAGTTTAGATAAAATAGACCAACTCCCTGAAATACACAAACTACCAAAAGTCTAGAGTAAATAGATCATCTGAATAGTATTATATTAAATAAAATAAATTCATAGTCAAAAACCTTCCAACAACAACAAAAACTCAAGGCACAGATGGTTTGACTGGTGAATTATGTAAAACATTCCAGAAAGATATACTACAAATTCTATACAAGCTTCTTCTGAAAATAGAAGAGTTAAAACATTTCCCAACTCATTTTATAAAGTTAGCATTGCTGTAAAGCCAAAACCAGACAATGACATTACAAGAAACAAGTATAGATCAATATACCTATAAACATAGTTAAATAATTATCAGTAGAATTTTAGCAAATTGAATAATATATAAAAAGAATAGAAAAGACCTGAGTCTTTGATGACATCACTGAATTGTTGACTGTATTTCTGATTGACTGGCACAATGTCTGGGAGGTCAAATCAAGTCTCTGCCTAGAGACTTCCAGAGAGGGGGACATTCCCTGACACATGACATAGAAAACTCGAATGCAGGCCAGAAGGACACTAGCTCACACCACACTTAGGCTGGGAAGAGGAACAGAAACCTCAGCGTCTTCTAAGTACTGCTGTCAGGGTAAACGAGGGCACGTCCCCCTGCCAGTCCTGAATGAAGATGGTCGTTCCTCTCCATGTCTTCTCTCCACTTCCTCCTCTGGAAAACCTAGTTATTTTTAGGTTTCTGTGTCATTTTTCCCCTACCCTGCTGATCACATGGGGAAGGCCGAATTGTATCCTGGCAAGAACTCAGCTTCTGCAGCAGACAGTGCTAAGAGTCCCAGCTTTGCCCCTAACTACAGTGTAACGTTGGGCAACTACTTATTTTCTGTGTAAAATGTGGATGATAATGGCCTTCTCACGAAATTGCTGCAGGGACAACAGGGGGAGCTCACAAGGGGTAATGTCCAGTGCTGGGCTCACAGTGAGAACTCCACTGATCAGAAGGGTGCAGAATGAAGTCTGGCTTGAGGAAGTAACCGCTTGAGCTAAGGGGGTGGGGAAGAAGATATAACAACTATACTTTTTTTGAAGTTGTTACAACAAGCAAACGGAAAGGACATTCTTGGGGGGGAGGGGAGAGAGGGAGGAGGGAGGGAGGTGTCGGTGATGGGCCATAATAATCATATACATTGTATATTGACAAAATAAAAATTTTGGAAAAAACCCAGAAACCAGAAAATTTTTTTGATAAATTTGACCTCTTAAAATTTTACTTTAAATTTGGCTATTAAAAATTTAAAACTTTTGTATGAAAAAACGACAATTAGTTCAAAAGGCAAATAACAAAGCGAAGGAAAACATTGTATATATGATAGACAAAGACTAGTTTCCTTTGTTTTACACAGTAATAAGATATTGGATAATTCATGGAAAAGAAATAAAAATGGCTGATAATCTTACTTAATGGTAACCAAACAATTGTGAATTAAGTGGACAATGAAATACCATGTTTTACCTATCAGATTGGCAAACATTTTAAAAGTAGGTGAAAACTTTGCATTATAAGGATAGGGAAATGGACTCTCAGCAATACAGGAGGATGTACCAATCAGTCAATTTTTTGGAAATAATTAGACATAATCAATCAAGATCACAAATGTGTATATTTTCTCACCCAGCAATTCTACTCCAAGGACTTTATTCCCTAGATGTTATTAAGTAAGTCAGAAAAAATATACACACTAGAATCTTTCTTACAGTTAT